TTTAAAATTTTTCCAGACTGTGGCCACCCTGCAACTCACGGAAGAACTTCTGTACTTATTTATTTCTATAATATTCGTTACAGAAGCCTTCAGTTTAGAATAATAAATTTAGAACAATTTATTTTTAAACGCATGGAATTCAGTATAAAAAAATTTTTTTTCATTACTATTTTGTTAATTCCAAACATTTCGACAAATTTGGCACCCATGCATAGTGACATTTGTAGAACATTTAACGAAGATTGTTGCCATAAACCTTATAAATCAAGTTCGTTGCAGTATCTAGTTCTTATGATGCCGACCTATTTAACCAATCCAAAAAGTTAGAAATTTTAAACTGTTGATAATTTCCTACAACATGTATCTCTAATATATTTTATTTTATTTTTAGGATTAAATGGGCATGGTCTTAATAGACTTCATCCTAATGGCTGTGATAACACATCATTTTCTTTTTTAAGTTGTGCTGCTGATCCAAAAGTAAAATTTTCTTTCCTAATATTTGGGATAAGTAAACTTTTTTGGGGGGGATTTTCTTGTTTCTCAAAATCTATTGTATTTATGTAACTTTAAGTACATACTGTTTTTTTCTATTCACTTTATCATGTTAATAGAAATTTATCTTTAGGTTTGTTGATAAATCATTTTTATTGTGCAAATTTTTTTCCTTCCCATTACAATTGTTACATGAAAAATAGCATTTTACTAATTTATTTAAAGAGATGCTTACAAAAAACTGACTTAGTTGTTGACTAAAAACTGGGTAGTTTTGTTAATTAAATAACTATTCAACTGAAGCATATTATTTAAATGTAATTTTAAAACCATATTTATAACAAAAATGTAATAATTTTAAGAAGAAGTTTGGACATCATAGCTACTGTTTTGCATAGCTGCTAATGCACTGAGACTCAATAGTCTTGCAGATCATCAAGACATGGTTCCCAATGGAACACCGAAGTCAAGCATCACTGACTGAGGTCAGCGTGTGGGTGACCTCTTTCATCAGCCTACAAAGGGACCGGGGGTGCATGGTATCTGTCCCCTCTAAACTGTTCTAAGTAATTTACTCGACTTCAGACCCAGATTATCTTGCTGCCGAAATAGGGGACCCATCTCCTTTCCGGAGGATCAAAAATTGTGATGGCATGTATTCGGATCATCCTCAGGGATGTTTCCCAGCTCGTCGTCAATAGCCCATTGTTCAGATCTAGTGGGACGTAAACTAACAACAACTGAGACTCGGATGTTCTGTATTTTAAAAAATTTAATTTCGAACTAACTATGCATACTCATTTTATTTAGCTAACCATATATATTTTATTTTCTTGTTCAAAGTAAATTGCATTGAAGATTATTTGTTTAGAAAAAAAAAGTTTCATTCTCAGTTGTTTAATAGTAATTTGTTTTATTCATTAGTATATTTCCCTTAATTTCTTTCTTGAATCATAGTTTGTTGGTTTAAAGCAAGATCAAAACCAAACAACTTTTTTAACAAAAGTTGTTAACTTAGTTTTCTTATAAGAAATCTTTTAAATAAATTTTCTATTTTTGTGTGATTGTTTTCAGCTTGAATAATGAAAAAAGATTTCTCACATTTGTTACAATTTTGAATTTAATTGCTAATTGGAATTCACATACTTTAAATAAACATAAATCTGCAATTTTTAAATGTGTATGTAGAATTAGTTTTGACAAGAAAAAAAAATCATTTGTAAATGAAATTAAAGCAAGCAAATTTTAAATAAAATCATAAGGACTCTTAAAAATGTTTAAAATAAAATGGATTGTTAGTTATTTCATGTTCTGTTAGTTTTTAGTATCAGTTAAAAACCATGTAATTACTGAAAGAATTCAAGTTTTTCAAACTTTATTTTTACATACCTGTTAAAGATACATGTTTGTTGCAGTGAAACGTATAAACAGGAATGAAGTACTTTTCTAAATTTTATTTTTACAGTTTAATTTCAGAATTATTTTCTATTACTTTGGTGAACAAATTTGTGTTGTATCTATGCAGTATGCTCTTATTTATTATTGTAATATTCGAAATTACTGTTTATATGCTATATTTTAAAAAAAAAGGGTTTAAAAAATATTTTTAAATGTTTTTTTCTTTATACTACAATATAACATTGTTACATTTTAAGCTCTATATATTAAATGACAAAAAAGTAATTTATTTTTTTGTGTTTTAGAAACATTAAGATTAAAATATACTTTTACAATTTTAAATGTTTGTAATTATGTAGTCCATTTATTAATTTTATTCTTTACATCATTCGAATTATATTTTTTCATTGAAATATTACATTGTCTTGTCTCTCCCATGATCCTGCATTTTGAAATTTGTTTTGGCTCAAAAAAAAGTTAATCTTTCTTTCATTCTTTGATACATTTTCACCTCAATTAAATTGATTTCACATTGCCTCGATCACATTGATTCAACGTAGCCTGGTTGTATAATTTTTATTTGAACAGTCAGTTTGTAAAAGCATGTCTGAGCAATAACAAAAATACATTTCCTAAAGACTGCTGTTATAACTGTAAACTTATACTCTCAGTAATTTCTTTTATATGTTTTATTAATATTCATTTATGGAAGGTTTCATTATACGTACAAAAATTTTTGTTCACAGTACTCTTGCAGCATTTTTTAAAAATAAAAGTATAATCATTTATTTTGTGGATGCTCATTTAACTTATAATCTATGATTTATCTTCGAAAAATGGTTAAATGGTTAATGGAAAAATGGTTTAAAATTTAAAAAAAAATTGCATTTTTAAATCTTTAAGGCCTTTTTTATTTTAACATATTTTCAATTTTCTTTTCTTAGTGCTTACAATATTCATCTTAACAATTTTATGCATTCATTTGTTGATATATCAATTAAAATATTTTTTATAAATTATTTTGCAAAAAAGTAAAAAAAAGGCTAAAAATTCATGTTAGGTATATATAACATGCTGTAAAAATTTTAATCCATCATAAAATCTTATTCCATGCACAGTTTAAATAAGTGTATTATACTTAAGATAAAAAAAGTTTACTTCAAAACTTTATCTTAAGTAGAAAAAATTCCTTAGGGATTTAATTAAGATTAAAACACAAAATTATCATCTATAAGATAAAGCACTTTAAAGTCTATTTGTTGATCAAGTTTCGGATTTTAAAGAAAGGTTAAATAGTATTTAATATCTAAATATTATTTTAGTATTGTGTGAATATGTATACATATTGGGATGAATTTTAAATTATTTAGATATTCAAGAAAATGCTTTTTTTTTCTTCAATTAAGAAATATTTAATAACAGCATGATGAAAAGAAATAAATGTGTTCCATAAATATATACACACTTATAATAATAAATGTAGGTTTAAGTTCTGACCGTCAGAAAAACAAAGAACTATTTACTTATATGCCATTTATTTAAACATAATTTAGCTTTAAGTATAATGATTTTCTTATTGACATACTGCAAAATTAAAAAAAAATTTACTTAATTTAAAAAAAATCATTCAAATATATTTTAAATGAATTTTGAAAATTTTACAGCAAGGAATATAAGCATACAATTCAAAATTTGTTTATCTAAGTGGCAGAAAACAAATATGAAATTGAACTGAGAAAATAAAATTTAGAAAAGCACCTTCTTATTTATACTTTTGACTGTAGTAAGCATTATGTATATTTCACTAGTATATAAAAATAAAGTTTATGAAGTTTCAATTATTATATGATTGGCTCATTCTACAAATTACAGAACATGGAATTAGTTATGGTCTAATTTATTTTAAGCATTGTTACGAAACCTCGCGTTTTTTATTTTAAATTTGCTTACATTGATTTATTTTACATTATTATTTTTGTGAAAACTCAAGTTCTATGCAAACATTTAAAAATTTCAAAAAATGTGAGAAAAACATCTTTTTACTTCTCAGCATTTAAACAAATAAGAAATCAATATAAATACAAGAAAATTTATTTATTAAAAATATTTTGTTTGTTTTTTAAATATTCAGGCTTTTTTTTCTCTTTTAAATCATTTGGTTTAAACTGCATTGTTTTAAACCAGCTAAGTCTGCTGCTAAACATTGTCCTGCATCATTAGCATGAAATATTCTAATGCAGTTATTAATAATTCAACAATACATCGAAATAAAAATCCAGATAACATAAAAAAAAAAAAATTATGAAGAGAAATGATTGTTACAGTGATCAAGAGTTTTCATTGAAAAACTGTGATATTTTCATTTCCAAACAATGAATCTTGGGCATTGTTTGATAGACATAGTCTTTAGACATTTGCTTAAAAATTTATAAAATAATTGATATCTAACGAAATCCAAAATTAAATTAAGGAAATGAAAATACTAATCTATAACTTTTTTGCTCTATGAATTATTCTTAATTATTTCTTTTAAATTAAATTTAGTAATTTTAAACTTTATTTGTGAAAAAAATTAGAAGCTTCATTCTTTTTATAATATCTTTAGTCAGATATCTCATTTTGTAAATTTTTTGCATTTAGCTGAACAAGTCAAAAGTGTCCGGTGGTAACAGCTCAACAAATAAAGTCTTGGCTATGTGCTCAACTGATGTTATTTCTTGACAAGATTGGAAATTAAAAACAATGAGTATGTTCATTTTAATTATGTCTTAAATTAGTTGTAGTATTTTAGTATAAAATTTTTAAATATAGTCTTGAACAAAATCCCTGTACTGAATTACACTTGTTTCAGATTTTATAAATTAGAATAGTTATGAGTGTAATTTAAATAATTTGCTTTTAAAGCTCTAAAGGTTTTTAAACATTTTTTGAAGTTATACAGTTGTATACTGTCTATTATATTGAATAATTGTTAGGCAATTATCTTTGCTGTTTATCTAGTTTTGACTTCTAATTGATCTTGCTTTTTTGAATAGTAATTGGAAAAAAAAATGCTCATAAGTTCAAAAACTTTTATAATTTATGATCAATAGAGAAACAGAATTAAGTTGCAGCTTGTTAAACAAAATGATACATGAAATAAAGATTTTTTTCCTATTTTGAACGTGATAACCAATATTTTTGCAATGGTCAATCAAATATATTAATAGACCAGGCCCGTCTTAACCCTTTGAATAAATGTACATGTTGAAATTCCTGTTTGTGTGTAAATAAGAGCAATAATTTACACTTATAATTTTTATCTTTATGTGTTTTATCCTTACTACATACTCCATAAAGCATTTCTTAGTTAAAATTTTATTGATCTTGCTTTTCCTGATAATTCCTCAAAATAGGCTAATGCAAAATGCTATTTAATAAAGTAGTTTTTTGGTAGTAAAAATATTATTTTTCAAACATTTGTTATTGCATGAAATTAAGCTTCAACTGTCATACTAATCTCTAGGTCGTAAAACTGAAACAACAATAGATTGTGATAATATTGAAGCGAAATGGAAATTTTGCAACTTATATGGAAATTACTTAAAGAATTGTGATAATATCAATCTTAAGCTCAATATTAATTTTTGTAAATCAGAAAATTAACATTGATAAAAATATTAAAACAAAGAAAAGTTTTAAAATATCATTTTGTAATTTTTTTATGAAAATAATAATTTTAGATAATTTTTATTTCTACCCATTTTTGTATTTCCAACACAGCTTATCTAAATAGTTGTATTGCGGTTTTGTATGATGTGGAAGAAAAATATCTTATGATTTTTTATTTTATAAATATATTATTCTTCATTGGGATTTTTTTAAACCAGATATAAAAAATTTCATACTAAGACTATGATACGTAGATGAGTTTCCGTTAACTGACAAATATGTGACTTATTACAGATATCCATGAGATATCTGAGGGATTTCTTTAATACATCAGTTGTATGTATTATCTGGATATCTCAGATGTATTCTTATTGGATATTCGAACAATATCTTAATCGTTCAAAAACTTGATTTGATTAAATTTAATGATCTTATATAACTAGTGAATTTAAGTTTTATGTTCCATAATTTTAAGAGTAAAACTGATGTTAGATTATTTAATTTTGCGGAATAAGTTCACTAAATTTAAAGTTTTGCAAATTATTCATGATTTATAAGTAATGAAGGTGTGGGAGAGATGTGTAAAATGAAAAGTGTTTGCGGTGAAAAGTTTTTTAGTCTATTTTGAAAACTATCGCACGTAGAGAAAGCATCAAAGTAGTAGTTTTTTTTTATTTACGGAGAAATGTTTTATCATGAAATTAAACAAAATTATGTAAGCAATTCAAGAATGTTTCATGATCAAGAATGTTTCATGAATGAATCAAGAATGTTTCATGAATGAATCAAGAATGTTTCATGATGTGAATATTCATGATCATAATAGTTTTATTCATTGTATTACAAATTTATAATTGCTGTAACTTTTTTTTTTATAATGATTGACTATAAAGCATGAGTAATAAATTGTAAATCTGTATCTGTTTAACATTTGGCTTTGTGTGTTTGGTAACAGAATTTTTTTTTCCAGATAAATCTTACAGCGAATTCTGTTATATGAAATTGTATCTTCAACAAGATAAAATACACTTTAATTGAATAATATTTATAGTAACTTGGCAATAATATTTTATATAGAAGTACAAACTGAATAAGATTTTCTGTACAAGTGCAACAAAGTAATTAAAGTCTATAATTTTTAAATTAGATGAGAGAAGTTAATAACAATACTTTTTCAATCAAGAAAGTGCTTAATTTTAATCTAAATACTTTAAAATTATCTGAATCCATTTGTTTTTACTTTGTTTTGGCAATTTTGTAAATGAACAAACTTCAATTATATTTCCATTCTTAATAATTATTAGGTAATCATTTGTAATAAATCTTATTTTAAGTTTATTGTAATAAATATAAATGCCTAGTACCATAATCCTTAGAGCTAAAAACATCAGCTTACTATGCTGTATGAATTTAAATTAACAGCTACTTTCTAAATTTACCGTTAAAAAAAAGAATTTTTTTTTAACAAACTTTTATTTAAGTTTTATATAAAGTTCGCTTACTTAATACTTGGATTCTAAAATTCATTTAAATGAACTATGAAAATCATTATGCATTTTAACCACCAATATTATGATATAAGTGTTTTTCTTTTAATTTAGACTATTACAGTTGTTGCAATTGTATCGAATTTAAAATGCTTAATTTTAACACTTACCTGCTTCATAAATCTGAGAGAAAAAGAAAAAAAAAACATAAAATAAAATATGCTTATCTTTTTCATGGATTGAGCGTAAAACAAAATATTATTGATGCCAGTTATACTTTTTTAATGCTGTTACTATTAGTTGCTACGAGTTTTGTGTTAATAGGCACTGTTTTAAAAGGTACCCAAGTTACTCTTATAGAGACCTTATGTAGCTAATGTTTTAATATACTTCTTGTATTATGTGTTAATGCATAAAAGATGAAAAATGCTTTTAAAAAAGAATAGACCCAATGAATATTTAGTGTTAAATGTTCTTATTTTTTAGAAATAATTTTCTTTTTAAGTTTTTTTTCCATACTTAATACATTGCTGTAGTAATAGGCTGCAAATTAGTTATGTAATTAGCAATTTTTTTTATATATTATATAAATCACAATCTTGTAAACAGAGCAAGATTAATTATTTCAGTATTAACAGCATTCGGTTGTGAAAATTAGTATGCTGTTGTAATTGTGAATACAAAGTGTGATTTAAAGATAATACAATAATATAATTTGATTATGTTACTTTAAAATGTCTTTCCATAATTATAAAAAAATAAGCTCTGTAGTCCTTTGTGTCTAACATGGGAAAAAACTACTGTTGTAATGTCATTTAAGAAATTCATTAAATTTATTTTCCTTTTTAAATATTGCCTTTTTTCTTATTTAAAAATGATTTATTAAATGACTTGGAAATAATACTATTGCTTTAACTGAATTATAATTATTAAATTCTTAAAGTTTTATTTTAAATTAATAGATGATGTTTCTTTATTGAAGCGAAAGTTTCTTCCTCTTATGTTAGAAGAAACTTCTTACTTTCACTGTGGAAAAAACTTTTCATTCCTGGTTTCATGTTCTCTTTTAATTTTTTTATTCTGTGAATGTTTTTCATGTTGTGCCTTCTTAAATTTACTCAATTATAAACTGAGAGTCTAAATGTTGCAATTTCAAATTTAGTGTTTATGACTTACTGTTATTCCTGAATGTTGTTTCTTGCTAAATAAAACTAGATTATAGGGTTCAGAAAAAACCTGCCCCTAAAGATTTTTTTTTCTCTTCTTTCCCCATAAATCCTGTGGCAAAATTTTTTCGAGCTATCTGTGGCAAAACTCTAGCTCTATTATCTTCCTGCAATATACTTTTAATAATAACAAATATATGTTGTTAATTTAAAAAAAAAACAGAAGTTCAAAAAAACAACATAACATATAATTTTTTAATTAAACGTTTAATAAATTTTTAATCTAATGTGTCAATTAGTGATAATCTTGCATTTTGTTGAGGGATGCACAAATTACTTCCTTTGCATTTTGTAAATAATAATTACAATAAAAAAAATCATGAAATCCGTAGGAATAATTGCTTGTCGATTGTCATTATAAATTACAAAAAATGCATGATTTGTCACAATTTTCTCTGCAATATTAATCAGAAACTAGTTGTTTTATTATAATTATGTAAAGTTTCCGAAAATGTTTCTAAATTTTATTGATTTCATGTTTATAAATTAAGAACATTAAACGATAGAAAAAAATAATTTTTATTACTGCACAGATCCTAACTATGAATTTTTTTTTGGAAAGTGATTAAAAACATTTGATTACTTAAAAAGTTCTTAAAAGGTGCTTGTTTTTCTTTGAAAAATCTGGCTGCTCACCTTGTAACAACAAATTTTAGCCCTCAAATATTTTATGATTTCTTACGGTCAGCAATTATATCTCCTCAGGGCCAAACTTAATAATTGCTTGAAAATTATAAATATTGGTTGCACAGTATTTTTATAATTAGCATTTATCTTGGCTAACTAAATTATTTTGATTTGTTTTCATATATTTGTTACGATAAATATTTTAGGGTAGTTTTCAAAAAGTGGGCACGTAACACAGGGTTGTCACAGAAGACTAAAATGCGACTATTTGCAACTATTTTCCGTCTGAGGCAACTATGGCAACTTTTTTACCTGAAAAGACTAACTGTTTTCCAGGAACAGAAAACTATTTGGAGACTTTTCTGTACTTTTCTTTTTAACATAACTTAGTTTGACAGCCAGCGGCCCGATGGCTTCTAAACACAATGAGCATTTTTTTCCCCCAAAAAAGTAAAATATGTTGAAAATTTTGATTGCAAATTGTAGTCATCACAAGTCCAATTTCGATACGCTCGTTAATAGGCTCAATCTTTCAACATAATTTCAGTGTGTTGTTTCAGTTAATTTTTCTTTCTTTCGCTATTTCAATAAAATATATATTTTACATTGAATATATGCAAATTTAAATTTCCTCTTGAATCTCTCACCCTCGCTTAACTCGGATCTCTCACATCATCATAATCGTCCTTTTTAGATTCTTCGTGAAGTAACAAATATTCCCGGGAGCTGTAGCCAAACTTTATGACATCTTTTTCCAATGCGATTGTTGCTGACAAAAGTGCCATTGACAGATTCCAAGTCAATAATGTACACCCTGACCCTCCTTCAGATTGAGAGTTAGATAGGAAAATAAATTTAAGTAAAGACATTTTTCCCTTTAATCTTCGTAGGAATCACTCAACCTATTTCATAAACCAATAGTAATTTCTAAGATTTCCCTAAATAGATACATTTTTGGATTTTTTGCAAGATTTTCTGTACCAGAAAGACTGGTCATCGATGGAGTTAACTTCACTTTTCTCTCGTCATCCATTTGAGAATGATCAAATAAAATAATATTGCTTTCATTAAAATCCTGTGTCTGTTTTCCTGCTCGGTCCAACTGCATCATTTTACATATATATATATAACAATAATGAATGAGCGAAGTTGCTTACTTTATTTTAAAGAAAATACATTAAAACCTCTCGGGAACGACCACTCTCTGTCCCACAGTGAAAAGGCCGTTAATGGAGGTTGGTTGTTCNGTCTATATAAAAATTATCATATTTGCCACATAACTTGACTAAATGGATCATGGTATATGACAATTGGGTTATTTAATAAAATTTTAGTCATATTGAAAAAAAAAATTATTATTTAGGCAACTATTTTCATGCTTTAGGCTACTAAAAGCAACTATTTTGTTCATTTTTTTGTGTGACTACCCTGATAACAGATCTAAACTTCCTGCTCTAACAACAATTAAGTTCAAATTTAATTCACTATCAAAGTTTCACAGCAAATTTATAATTCTGTAAATAACTTAAAAATATTTTTTTTTCCAACCAAAGGGAACAAACTTGAACATTCATGATGCCAACAAAGTTAATTTAACCATTTTTTTTTTAATTTTCTCTTCATGTTAATAATTCAACTATTTGAGATACTTTTATCGTTAACCTATTACAGTGCAGTGTTGCCAGTCTGGGGACACTTGTTTAAAAAATAAATAAATAAATGAATAAAGTAACAAACAAAAAAATACTACAAACCACTAAAAATTAAAAACTTTGCTTCTAAACGTCCACCGTTTTTTAGCAACCAATTTTTTTTAAACAGGATAGAGCTTAAATATGTTTCTTTACTTAAAAATCACAGTTGCTACCGATTTAAAATTTTCACTCAAAATCTGCTGTGCTGAAAAGGTTAAAACGATGAAGAAAAAAAATTTTAATTCCTCACCTCAAATAGTTTCAAAATTATTGATAGTCTTTCTTCATCAAATACGTTTACAATTGGGTACTTGCACTTTGAGAAGAAGAAGATCAAACATACCCACACATATGACCTATGACGTCAGTGCCAACTGATCGTCAATAAACAAAATGGCGTATTAAAGTTGAGCTAAGTTTTTTCCCGTAAGTTAGAATGTTAATTAACGATAAATTAATTACAGAGCAGCATCGCACATCAAATTAGTTGAAATATAATTCTTTCTCTCCTTTTACTTAACTTATATTTTTTTATTTGTTTATGTATTTTATTGTAACTGTGATATATTTTTGTTTTGTGCAATTTCGATGCATAATTAGTTTACGTTCCCGTGACTTCGTGCCTGTCTTTGTGTTAAGTCTCTGTGTAAATATATATGGTGAAAGAATTGAAATCTTTGAGAAGGAATCTTTGCGAAAAAATTTAGACTGTTTCACTTAAGAGAATTGATACTTGTCGGGCTTGGCTTAATCGGAATAGAAGGAGAAGAACAGTTGCTAACGTAAACAAATGCAAACAAACAATCAGGATCGAGGTTTCCTACACTACGTCACTTGCCGGTATTGCTAAAGAACTTTGACAAAAGGGTCAATCATTTAGGGTTCCGTATACGGAAAAAAATTGCGAACCCGCTGTTCTCAATAATAATTAAATTATTATTATTTTTTTAAATATTACGTTAACGTTATTTTAATGAACGTGGCGTTACTTTAAAAATAAAAACTGTGAAGCGAGTTAGTGTTCCTCAATTGAAATTTTCTAAAGTTCAACAAAATAGTTGTGTTGTTTTAAACAATCTAATTTTGAAAATATTTAATTTGATTTTTTTTTTACTTAATAGGTATGTGAGTAAAATTCCTTTCATACTCAAAAAAGAAGAAATTACAAGAACAAAGTTAAGAAGATTTTAGTTGTGAAGAAGACATTCTGTTCATTTTTTTAACTACGTAATCTACATAGTTTAATAAAAATGTATTAATTTTGCTAGTCCACTTTTTCTTATTTGCCTAACATTATCCAAGTTTTAAATTTTTTTATATTTGCCGAAGATTTTAATTTTATGGCTAAAAAGATGTTAATAAGCATGTGATTTGAAGTTTTCGTGACATTATAAGGACATGACATTTTATTACAGGTTCCACTTGCTAATTCCAGAAACTGCTGTCCACTCCTCAAAGGTACGGATTAATTGAGCGGCAAACTTTTGTTGATATATACTGATATTCGTTAGAAAAAGCACAAATTTATAATTTAAATATATCAAAACTGATCAGAAATGTAGACAAAGACATAAGGCCGGGATAACCTGGGTGGTGGGGCCCTGGACCCATGTTCAAGAGGTCGTGGTTTCGATCTCCACTGTCCATCTCGCCGTGACTCCCTGCGTAGTAAATGGTGAATGGTGCACGTTAAATCTGTCGAGTCACGAAGTCCTCCATGTTCCGATAACAAACCATACCTCTGGATGTACTGATCCAGGAGCTTCCTTGTCTTCTGTATTGGGTTCAAAATGAAAAAGCTACGGAGTTGAACATCAGTATTCGTAAACGCAAAACTGGGACTGCTGTTTGACGACGGTTATAAAATAAAAAACAAACACATAGTTTATTAACATTCATTAGAAATCAAAAGATCAGAATTTCATTAGAAAATCCTTCAGAGCTAATACTTTTCACTTAACTAATTATGCGACGCAAATAATATTGCACTTTGATTTAAAATAACTCATTTTATGTTATATACGTTAGCTACGTTTAATGCTCGTTGTCGATAGCTAACACTCAGAAATGCTTTTCAGATAGTTTTACTATCTGAGTTTGCTCATTTCACCTGTTCTGAAATTAAAATAGCATTCTACTTGCCTAAAAATTCAAACTATAGTATTTAGAAACCAAAGTTCACATTGATAAAGCTCTTATTTTCGATTTTTTTCCATTATTCCTCTTTTTTTTTATTTTTTTTTAAATTGACCTTCATTGCATGAATTTTTATTTTTCATAAATAATAGTTGAAATAAACCAGGAAATGGGTATAGTTAATGGCAAAAATGAATAAATAAAAAACATTGATGTACTGCACGTTTTCATGAACATTTACTCCCTTAGTTCTAATAATCTATTGTGTACATGTTACAATAAAAGTAATCAATCAGGTAATTATTAATAATAACAGGTCAATTTTAATAATAACCGCTTTGACCTAACTTCATTAGCTTTTATTAATAATAACCGGTTAATGTGATGAATTCGCTTAAATTATTCACTTTAACCGGTTTATTTGGTTGTTAATAATATTGAACGGTTAGTTATAATAATAACCAATTATTCACATTAATCGTAACACATATGCTACATAAACTAACACGTGTGCTTATTGCAACGCGTGGCTTGCGGTAACAGATGTGTAGTTCGTTTCGTTTATTTTAATGAACGCTTCCGACTGACTACTTAGGCAGATCCCAAGGACTGACGGACTAAAAAATACTTGTAATGCTTCTCTAAAGATCAACAAGCAAGCACTTAAATTGAAGCAACCTCTCTTTCATCCCCTCAACAAAACAAAAAAACTAATCTACTATAGATATGATCTCTGACAATTTGTGAGAGACACGGTTCCCAGCAAGTCACCGAAGTCGAGCATCACTGACTGCGGTCAGTGTGCGGGTGGGTGACCACTTGGATCAGTCTGCGTAGGGACCGAGAGTGTGCGGTATTAAAAACTGTGAAGCGANTACTTGCCTAAAAATTCAAACTATAGTATTTAGAAACCAAAGTTCACATTGATAAAGCTATTATTTTCAATTTTTTTCCATTATTCCTCTTTTTTTATTTTTTTTTTAAATTGACCTTCATTTCATGAATTTTTATTTTTTATAAATAATAGTTGAAATAAACCAGGAAATGGGTATAGTTAATGGCAAAAATGAATAAATAAAAAACATTGATGTACTGCACGTTTTCATGAACATTTACTCCCTTAATTCTAATAATCTATTGTGTACATGTTACAATAAAAGTAATCAATCAGGTAATTATTAATAATAACAGGTCAATTTTAATAAGAACCGCTTTGACCTAACTTCATTAGTTTTTATTAATAATAACCGGTTAATGTGATGAATTCGCTTAAATTATTCACTTTAACCGGTTTATTTGGTTGTTATTAATATTGAACGGTTAGTTATAATAATAACCAACTATTCACATTAATCGTAACACATATGCTACATGAACTAACACGTGTGCTTATTGCAACGCGTGGCTTGTGGTAACAGATGTGTAGTTCGTTTTGTTTATTTTAATGGACGCTTCCAACTGACTAGTTACTTAGGCAGATCCCAAGGACTGACGGATTAAGAAAAATGCTTGTAATGCTTCTCTAAAGATCAACAAGCAAATACTTAAATTGAAGCAACCCCTCTTTCATCCCCTCAACAAAACAAAAAAACTAATCTACTATAGATATGATCTCTGACAATTTGTGAGAGACACGGTTTCCAGCAAGTCACTGAAGTCAAGCATCACTGACTGCGGTCAGTGTGCGGGTGGGTGACCACTTGGATCAGTCTGCGTATGGACCGAGAGTGTGCGGTATGGGTCCTCGTTAAACTATTTTACCGTAAAGTGCTCGACTTTGCATGCAGGTCGTTGGGCTACCGAAGCGGGGGTGCCATCCCCTCTGCAGAGGATCAAAATTGTGATGGCATGTTTTCGGATTATCCTCAGGGATGTTTCCCAGACCGTCGCCAATAGCCCATTGTACAGTGCGACGTAAATGAACTACAACGACAGTTCGTGAGAAGACAGTACATTTCCAGCATAAAACTAATTCAAATTTCTTTCTTTCTTAGTGATTTCTTACCTATAATTTGTTCTATATTTAATATAATGTACTTTAATATAATTTAATTCAGCAAATGCTTTGTAGCATTTTGTTTCTGTTGACATTGAATTTGAAGTGGAATTTACCTCTATGAATCCCTTAACATGTTATTCAATTGTAACAGCTAAACACAATGAGTGTGAGAGGCTTTGAAGGCGGAACCGGTGACTTTCGGGGCCTCCCTAGCCCAGGGGTATCGCGCGCCGAACGCAGTGTAAAGCGTGGAGGTGGCGGGTCCGAATCCCGCTGTAACCCTGTATGCATTCTTTGTGATGCCCTTATTTAAACTGTTCTATCTGTCCTTCTACTTGACGTTGGTTTATAAGCCTAAATTGAGAAAACAAGCCTGCAAATATATGTAATTTCAATAAAGCAATAAAACCGGTGACTTTCTTTGTCATTTATATCTCCAAGTACTTTTTTTTGGTACTTTATTTACGTCGCTCTAGAGCTGTACAATGGGGTACGGTCTGGGAAACATGCCTGAGGATGATCCAAACTCATACCTTGGCATTTTTTCATCCTCTGCAGAGGTGATCGCTCCTCTGCTTTGGAAGTGCGAGACCTGGGCGCGAAGTCGAGCACTTTACCGTAGAACAGACCACAGCCAGTAATGCTTGACTTCAGTGATCTGCTGGGAATCGTGTCTTAACAATCAGTCCACTGCGGGACCCAAGTTGCGACAGAGAATGCTGTTGGTTTAAATTGCTCATCACAAAGAATCTTAGTAGTTACAAACTAATATCCTACAAGTTACATAAAAAATAAAGTTATCTCTGAATTTTACAGTGCTTATGAAAGTTTGTCCTCTTCAAAACACTTTTAAGCGTGGAGTTTGCGGGTTCTATTCCAATCGTAACCATGTTGTATCTAGTTTTTCATGTCTACCTGCATTTTGGATAACTTTACTTTCGAAATTAGAGGCACATTGCTTGTTCTTTGACTTAATTTTACAAGCCTGTTAATTTATGTATGATTGATTTTTCTTCGGTTATACTTTATCCGTATTCAGTTATTCAAATATTTGAGTCCCGCAGTGGATTGTTCGTAAAAATACGGTTCTCAGGAGAACACAGAAGTCAAGCATCACTGACTGTTGTCAGTAAGCGGGTGGGTGACCACTTTGATCAGTATTCGTAGGGATCCAGGGTGTGCGGTATCGGTCCTCGTTAAACTGTTCTGTTGTGCAGTGCTAGACTTCGCGCGCTGGTTATCGAGGCCACCAAAGTGAGAGTGCCATTCTCTGGGCAGAGGATCACAATTGTGATGGTATGACTTCGGATCATCCTCAGAGATGTTTCGAAGACCGTTGTTAATCACGCATGGTGGAGCTCTAGTGTGACGTAAATAATGTACTTACTTATCATATCATCAACTCAACTCAACTGTGGCAGAAATTAATCGTTATCGATATTAAGGGATATAAAATAAGAGGCACGACTGGTATCGAATGAGCTCTTTATGTCTCCGAACTGTGTGTAGTCTTGTGTGTTTATTCTCAATTTAAATACTAAGATGGATACCGTATGTGATTTTGTGTCGGATGTTTTCTCTGAAGGTTTGGTCCAAAGAAGCATTTTTGTCTTAAAGATTTTGAAGGAATAAATTTGTTACCGATGATTACCAATTTTCAGAAGGTTGTTTATAGATGACTTTTCTCTTTACGTTTTTTTAAAGTAAGTTTTTCTAATTTTTATACTTTTTGCATTTAAGTTTTTCGTGATTATTAGTGGTATGCTTGTAATTGTGTGTATCTATAATTTGTGATTGCTTTTTCAGAAAGATTAGTATTCCTGTTTTAATAATTGACCCTCTTGGGTAATTTTTAAAATATCTTGATTCGTATTTTTTGATCGGATATTAACTTGCTTAAAATAAAATGAACACATACTAAAAGTAATTTTTAAAGTTTTGTTTTCTCAAATATTGAATTTTCAAAGTTCCGTGATTGTTTAAAACTGAAAAGATATCCCCTCAATATTAAGAAATATCTTATATTTATACATTTGTGTAAGCATGTATGTATATTTTATACAATTGTATTAACGCTCCATTTTAAAATGAGTTGCATTATTTTTTATACTCGAAAGATTTTTAATCCCATTAATTTGAAATTTTTAAGATTAATAGTTTAATAACGGTTTGTGTATGCCAACATCTAATTTAACTTCATAAGCTTGAGTTTGGTTAAAGAAAAACAAAATGTCTTCTGTATTGAAAGCACTGTTTGCAAACAAGCTTCTTGGTGCCTTTTGTCCCCTTCTGTTCTTTTCTTTGACCAGGTAACAGTTTAATTTCGTTATTCAGTCAAGTAGTTTGCTTGCTGCGGTTGAGCAAATGGCTTTAACTTTTAGGCGGAAGTGTTTTGCGTCAAACTGTTGTCCAGTACACCAGCTAAAATGTAAAGATGTAATATTGAAAATGATTTTTTTTTGAGAGTGTCAGTTTATAATTTGAAATCAAAATTAAATTCCGGGAATTAAACTAAAACGCTTAGCGTTCGATTCTCAGACAAACCATATTTAGATCAATAGAACTTAATATCAAATTTTATTTTGGTATTTTCCTAATTAAATATTCGTTAAGTCTTCACCAATTTTCGGATGCGTGATTGTTATCTCAATATTTGAGAATCTGTTGAAGTAAATGTGCTAGTTTCAAAATATAGTCTACGATTAAAATGCACTTTTACATAAATACATAAAAGTTTAGGCCAAACCTTAAAACAAATGATCCAATAAAATTTATATCTAATTTATAAAATTTTTGCTCATATCTCAATTTTGTCTGCTATTATTAAAATTTACTAAATAAAGTCTTAAACTTGTTTCATTGTAAAATTCAAGCGTGCAATGAAAAACAATTTATTGAATTCACATTCTTTAAAATTAGAAAACTATTTCAGGTATCTAGATGTCTGGAAACCAAAAACTAGAACATACAATATGGCATATTTAGTGTTATTTAAATAAAACACACGGTATTAATAAAATGAGTTTTTTTATGAACTCTGCCTCTTCAGTAATGTTCAAATGTCATTCAGTACAAATTTTAATATTTAAGGTAACACATTCTGTTCCAAATCAAAATTTTTATCCGACAATTCAGAATCTGTCTGTAATTACCGCTTACGTTATTTAAAATCCTTAGAGCTTAAGACTCGCTGTCACGTGACATAGCACAGCATTTTTAAAATTTTATTTTCGCCTTACAGTGAACCTAAATAGAAAACATTTAATCGCACAGAATTTTTATTGTTTCACAACCCCCGTGCATTTTGGTATCTTTTCTCCCCTTCTGTTTTTCCTTAGACCAGGTAACACCGTTTAATTTCGTTATTCAGTTACGTAAAGTAGTTTGTTTGCAGTTGAGGAAATGATTTCAGCTTTCAGCAATAAATTCAAATGAATTTCTCTCAATTGGAAGTAAATCAATACGAAATACAGGATCGCTATGACATAAGTTTTTCCTTTAATTGTTGTTAATTTATCTGAAAATTTCACTCCTGATTGTGTAATTCCTGAGGTGAATAACTAATTTGTTTGTTGAGAAATTCTAACTATCAACTTTCTTCGAAATTTATGAAAATTAAAAAGTTGATCCAAGTATTGAAAACACTAAAGTGTTGCGCAACTTTCAGATTAAAAATCTCTTATTCTACTGTATTTTAATAGAGCATTTACCCCAATATCGGAAAACTATTTGGAAGGCAAGAATGCCGACAAATGGAGCCGGAAGTAGACTCCTGAAAACTTTATTTGTAACCTTTAGAGTATTTTTACCATTTCATTAAATTATATTTAAGACTTATTCAGAGGACGAAAATGAATTTTATGAACGTTAAAGTAAACTCATTTTCTAAGCGTCTATTTTCAGATTTAGTTTATTCTAGAATTTGAGATTATTTGTAGATTTGTTTGTTATCAATTATTTGTGAATTATGAGTATTTAAAATTTTTCTTCATGAAGATTCAATATTCATAAACATTTTTTTGTTATATTTAATTTTTTTTGAAGTATAGTATAATTGCGTGTGTTTTGAACTGTAATCTAGAGAAATTATATTGAATTTTAGGCATTATAATGTGTTATCTAGGTTTTAGCCTGGCACGGAAAATTCTTAATTTTTGAGCTTATTTAAAATTTCTAAACAATCGTAATAATTATATTAGTAATAAATCATAGTAATAGTAATAAAATTATAATAGTTATAGTAGGAATAGTAAATTCTCCCAATTCATTTTTCCAAAAAATTCAGCCCTGCAGTGGACTCATTGCAAAGACATGGTTCCCAGTAGAACAGCGAATTCAAGCATCACTGACTGCTGTCAGTAAGTTGGTGGGTGACCACTTTGATCAGTCTTGGTAGGGGTCGAGGGTGCGCGGCATCGATCCTGTTCTTTTGTACAGTTAGACTTCGCACCCTGGTTTTCGGGCCACCATAGCAGGAGTGCCATCGGCAGAGGATCAAAATTGTGACTTCAGATCATCCTCAGAGATGTTTCAAAGACAGTTGTTAATAACGCATAGTGGAGCTCTAGTGTGACGTAAATAATGCACTTACCTACCATATCATCAACTCAACTTTGGTAGAAACTAATCGTTATACTAGGCACATCGTTATACTAGGATATAAAATACTAGGCACGGGTGGTATCGAATGAGCTCTTTCTGTCTCCCAACTGTTTAATATTTAAATCGTAGTCTTGCGTAATTAGTCTCATTTTAAATGCTAGGTGGATACCGTACGTGATTTTGTCTGTTTTTTTTAAGGTTTTGGTCAAAAGAAGCATTTTTTTCTAAAGATCTTCAACCAATAAATTTATTACCTATGATTACCAATTTAATTGAAGCTTGTTTATAGATTACTTTTCTCTCTATATTTTTTAAAGTTTTAATTTTTTCGTGGTTATTGGTGGTAACGCTTGTATTTGTCCACTGAAAGTGATTGCTTTTAAGAAAGATATATATACCTGTTAATTAACTTTCTTGGATAATTTTAAAAATATTTTTTCTATCTTTTGAAGGGATGCTAGCTTGCTTAAAGTAAAATGAATCAATACTAAATATAAAAGTGTAATTTTTAAAATTTGTTTTCTACGATGTATAATGAACTTGCGAAGATCCGTGACTGTTTAAAATTGGAAAGACTATTCCCACTCAATATTAAATATCATATATTTATACTTTTGCATACATTTGTATATTTTAAACAACGGTATTAATCCTCCATGTGAAACTGCGTTGCATTATTTTTAATCTCACTAGTTTGAAATTTTTAAGATAATTAGTTTAATAAAGATTAGTATATACCAACATTTCTTAAACCGATTTTAACTTTCAAAAGCTTGAGTTTGGTTAAAGAAAAACAAAATGTCGTTTTGCAATAAAGCTAGGTTTTTAAGTCACACAGAATTTGTATTGTTTCTCAACCCCCGTACATCTTGGTATCTTTACTTCCCTTAGACCAGGTAGCACCATTTAATTTCGCTATTCAGTTAGGTAAAGTTGTTTGCTTGTAGTTCAGCAAATGATTTAAACTTTCGGCAATAAATTCAAATGACTTTCTCATAATTGGAAGTAAATCAATGCGTAATAAAGGATTGCTGTGAAATAATTTTTTTCCTTTGATTGCGATTATTTTGTCTGAAAATTTCGTTCCTAATTCAATTGTGTAATTCCTGAGGTGAATAACGAATTTATTAGTTGAGAAATTTTAACTATAAACTTTCTTCGAAATTTATAAATTAGAAAGTTGATCTAAGTATTGAAAACATTAAAGTGTTGCGCAACTTTCAGATTAAAAGTCTCTTATTCTACTGTATTTTAATAGAGCATTTACCCCAAGGCATTAATATCAGAAAACTATCTGCTAATTTCAGCTAAATGTGTTAAATATCATCACACTAAAACATAAAATCAGATTGTTGTATATAATTTACTGGTTGTGTACTAAAGGTTTTGCAATCATTGTTGGCTAATTTCATTTGTTTTTTCGTGTATATTTAAGTGCGTACGTCATTGCAAATTTGTAAAAGTTATTTCTATTCGGGAGGTTACAGCTTACTTCAAGTTTCCATCGCAGCCCAATTTAGCTAAGCTGCGAACACCAATATGGAATTGTGTTCAATAACTATCTGTATCGAGCCATTTTTCACGATTTCTATTGTAAACTGATTTAAAATTCCGAACAGTTAATGTCATTCAAAATTTTGGACTAAATTGAGAATTGTTTTAAAATGAACAAAAATAAAGTCTTAAAATTCTTTCCTTTCATAAATTGAGACTAATATTAATCTAATATTAGTGATACATTACTTATAAGTATACAATGTTCAGCAGCAAATTTAAAAATCTAAAGTTGATTGTACTAGAACATTTGCTTAAAAGTTCACGATGACTTTTGCTTAGACACATCGATATTGACCTATTATAATCATTGGTTTAACTTTTATAGTTAAAAGTTTAATGTTTGAAAATTCTTTCTTAGGGGAAATCTACATATTAATACATTTGGTTTATAAGAACTTTCGCATTCAGCTTCAGGTTTTGATATAAATGTAGTTATAATTTTAGGCTGAGGATATGTTATATTAAGTTAATGTTTTTGTAGGGATCATCTTTTCACTAGTCGCTTAATCATACTAACTGGCCTATCAGTGAAACGTTAGTGCGAAATTTATGGCAAATTTACGAATATGAAGTGTCTGTAGCTTTAAAATGTGTCTAAAAGATTTAACTTTAAGAATTTTAATGGTGCTTTACTTCAGGTACAATTTTTTATTTAACAAATGTTTTGTATGCACATAACGTCGAGAGACAACGGCCCTTAGGTGTAGTTCGTTCACCAGGAGTTGGCGCTTGGCTCCACCTCCTTGGAGGCTGTGTTCATTTCATCGCGGGAGTAAGAGGAGAATCATCTCTTAATGCGTGCCAAGCACATGCAGTGAATTCTATTATACATTTCGTTACTCTAGCTAATTAAATATATTTTAAATTTAAAAACTGCTCTTTTCCCAGCAAATATCTTAAAGTACAAACTATTCACTCAAAAGAGAAGTATCATCAAATTTATGAAATATTTAATGTTAAAAAAATGCACATTGTGAAATAAATATTTTTGTCTTGAGATAGCCAAATAACAATCTTGTTCAGGATTGTTCACTTCCTTCTCCTAAAAATAGCGAAATAGTATGGTCGGTTATTATGTGATGTAGGCAGAACAAAGTGCCCACTCCTGGTGAACGTACTATATAAAGCCAAAGGCATCCACTCTGCCAAAAGGTAACCCAGCAAAGAATCTATTAAACATGTCTTATATACTAGTGAATTGGAATTTTTGTAGTGGTAGATACATTACAGGTATAAAGGCAAACACATCCACTCTGCCACCAAGAATACCAAAATCTAAGCAAACAGCTACGAAATTTAACAGGTACAGGTTTGAGTCGAAGAAAATATTTGGGTCGAAAATATTGTTATTCAAACGAAACTTAGTTATAAGTTTTACGTCAGTTTAGATTTAAGAAATTAAAAATATTGTTTTAAATTATTATTAAACAATATATTTGTATTGACATAAAAGCAGGTAATAATTTAAATTTACTTTGAAGTAAGATACTTTTTCAGGGGGTTAATATAGTTTTTCTGTAGTTCTTACGACACTGCGTACACAGCATTAAATATTTAACTAATGAAACTTAATCATATTAAAGGGTTATATTTTTAATTACATTTTCTTATTTGTTGCAGAATCCAAGAAGCTACCGTGATTTCCTTGAAATTGATGTTTGAGATTCTACCACAGGAAGTAACTAATGCTAGATTGAAAGAATATACCTTGCAGCAGAATAATCATGATTTTACAGCTTGATACTCTACTACAGAAAGTTACTAATGCTAGATTGAAAGAATATAGACCTTGCAGTAGAATATTGATTATCACTTTAAAGTTTATTGATGGGTAAGTATTATTATGATCTGGTTAAGAAATTGTTGAATATAAATTTTATTTAATGTATTTAAACTCTAATACAGTGTTTGATCAGAGATTGAACACTTTGAAATATTTCAAATCAAATTACTCTGGTATCCAACTGGGTAAAGAGGAAAAAATTTTGACGAAAGTTTGAATTTTTCATTATTCATGTTTGGACTTGGTTAATTAGCTTTCCAAAACACAAGTTTTGATGTCAGATTTTAATAAATGGAGTTTGATTAGATTTTTCGCATGCTGACAAATATAGCCAGAAGTAAACACCTGAAAACTAAAAAAAATTTTCTTAGTTTTTTTAACCTTTCCTTTTGATTAAATTATATTTTTAAGACTTAATTTTCGATTTTTCGTCCTCTGAATTTTATGAACGTTGATTTTTGTGAATTTTTATCGCAATTTATTATAGAATTTGAAACCTTATTTGTAGATTTGTATGTAGTCCATTTGCGCAAAAGCTAGGGTATGAGTGAATTTCGTATTTTTATTACGCTTTAAGTGAGTCTATAAATTTTTCTTCCTGAAAATTAAATATTCATGAATATATTTAGTTATATTTAATTTTTTTAAGATTTTAGTTCAAAACACACGTAATCACACTAATCTAGAGAATTTGTATTAAAATTTATGCATTATAATTTGTTGTCGAAGTTTCACTATGGCATGGAAAATTCGGTTTTTGAACTAATTTGTTTTTAAATATACTTCATAAATTTTTAATTTTCGGATCCTTGCTAACAAATTAAATTCAGCCTTTGTAAAAATATGTTGAAACCAGTCTCATACCTTAAGGGAATTTCAGTTTTATGAAAACTTGGCTTACTGTAAGAATGTTTTGGTTTCCAATATATGTTACCAAGGGGAAGAGAGAGGGGTGTGGACAGTGTGTAAGCATCATTTTAAATAAGCTAGGTAAGTTTTTCAAATGTATTAATTTTTTAACTCGTTAGGACAGAAGTTAATTGCGATAACATTGTTCCTTACGTTTAAAACTTATTTCACCTTTTTAGTTTATTAGTGGGGGGGGGTAGGATTTCAACGTCTACTGATTTAATCTGATTGGGAGGCTAATGAATTCGGCACAATGTCATTCACCAAATAGTTTCAACTCTAATTACCTTTCGAATGCAATATTCCCCATGCATTCATGAAAGCTGATTCACTTACTTTCGTGGTGATTTTAAAATTTTTAGTAATTTAAAATTTCGACTGCGCCGTTAGACTCGGGGATTTTCATTTTAACTTTGTCTGCGTTTGTTAATAAATTCTTGTGTTTTACTCCAGTGATTTGGAAAGTACACACATAGTGCAGAGGACTTGTGAGTAGGAATTGAATGTTTGTACTAATGTGATCATTATGGCCATTTCACAAAAATATCAATTTCAAAAGCTTACAAACGAAGGGGTTGAAACGAATCATTAGCTTGGTAAATGATTATAAAACTTGATTCGACGCACTGATATCGAACACTCTTACTAAAAGACTTGTCTAATTTTACCGTGAAAGTAAGGACATTTTTATTTTTATAATTAGGCTTTGTACTGGATACCTCAACGACGTATAGTAACTCTTGAGGACCCTATTTGCCGAGATCTCCATTTCGGACCTAGTTGCCATAGGAAACGTGTGTGCCAAGATGCCCTCGATTACTTAGTGTGATAACTATGTGTGCCTAGATGACTTCGATAACTACCTAGATACCATGATAAACATGTGTGCCAAGATGACCTGAATTACTGACCTAGTTGTCATGAGAACAATGTGTACCAAGATTAGCTTGATTACCGACCTAGTTACCATGAGAAACATGTGTGCCAAAATGATTGACCTTTGTTGCCATGACCGAACTGAAGAGTTAAACCTACCTTATTTCTTCGACTCAAAAGGTTTATTTTTTATATTCTCTAATATGGAAATTCCACACTTGTATTATATGAATATTTAAATATAATTTTTTTAATAAGAATTAAGCTACATATAGTCTTTTGCGAAATCTAAATCCATATTTTCAATTCCGTGCATGCAATTTAAGAGTACTCAGTAATAAAGTAAATTTATTTCTAAGACTTTTCTTAAATATAATTAATGGAATTGATCTAAAGTTTATTATATCCAAAATTTTGTTCATGAATTATTTTAATAGTAAATTGTTTATCCATTAAATATCATAAATTAAATTTAAAGTCTTAGAGAATGTGCGTCGAATTTGCGGACACTAAGTATTTCATTTATCCTGCGAAGTGTATGTATACGTACACTTAAGTATCAAAACGTTTTAAGACAAGCTTATTGTTAGCTAGTGCTCTTAATAAATTATGACTTAATGTCTTAAAAATAAACTTAGAATATTTATGAGAATTAACTTTCAACGAATAAAAACTAATTTCGATTTATTTGTTTTTTCTTCAAACTGTTGTCCAGTACAAGAGCTAAAATGTAAAGTTGTAATTTTAAAAATTGATTCCTTAAGAGTGCCAGTTTAAATTTGAAATGAAAATTGAATTACGGCAATTAAACTAAAGTACTTGGCTTTCGATTCTCAAGCAGAACATATTTAAATTAAGAAAGCTTAATATAAAATTTTATTATGGTATAATACTAATTATATATTTTTCAATAAATCTCCACCAAATTTTCAGATGCGTGATTGTTATCGCATTATTTGAGAATCAGTTGAAGTAAATATACTAATTTTAAAATGATATCTACGACTTAGAATACACGTTATATAAGAGTTTAGGCCAAACTTTAAAACAAATGATTTAATAAAATTTATATCTAATCTATAAAATTGATCGCTCAACTGTCGGCTATTAAAATATACTAAATAAACTCTTAAACTTACTTCAATGTAAAATTCAAGAGTACAGGGAAAAACCGGATTAGTTTATTGAATACACAATCTTTAAAATTAGAAAGTTGAAAAGTATTTGAGGTATCGAGATGCTTGGAAACCAAAGAACTAGAACATACAATATCGCATATTTAGGGTTACCTAAATAAAACGCACGGTATTAATAAAATACTTTTTAATAAATCCCGCCTCGTCAGTAGTGTACTATTATTCAGTACAAATTTTAATATTTAAGGTAACACATTCTGTTCCAAATAAAAAAATTTATCGGACAATTCAGAATCTGTTTGTGTAATTACCGCTTACATTATTTAAAACACTTGAAGCTCACGACTAGCTATCACGTGTCATAGCACTACATTTTAACGTTTCTTTTCGCCTTATAGTGAACTCTAATAAAAACATTAAATGCTGTATATTTGACATGTTAATACTTCACAATTTAGTCTGTCGTCGTATTTTTATGTACGTATTTATAAATATAAATTCCTCTATACAAAGAAATTAATAATTTGTCAAGCATTTATGTAGTATATATGGGCAATAACAATTATACGTATTCTATTAAAAAAATTAATGTACTCTATATCAAATAGAAGTCTAAGAACGAAACTGTTAAAAAAAAATTTAAAAGTAAAAAACTAAACAATAAAGTTATTGTTCAGAAGTATACATTTCGGCAAAAAAAATTTCGTATTTCGTAACTCTTGGGGAAAAAAACTGCTAGATTTTGGTAGAGCGGAAATTTTTTGAATAATAATCTATAGTTAAAATCTGATGTTTTCTCACCTAATATGAATTGAGGAAGAAATTTGGTAGGAACAAATATTTCAACTTCGTCAGGTAATTCTTTAAGATAAACTGGAATTATATTTCTAATTAGATACGTTCGATATATTTTTATGAATAGACTTGTGGGTTTATACAAAACTAGTTTCGTTTTTAATCTTATTTCTCAGCAGAGTCTATTTTGTATAACGAAATTCTTTAAATAGGTATGCCTCGATTTACTTTTCCTCTAAATATTTATAGTGTTATTCATTCAGTGTTCAAAAGTAACTGTTCGATTAAAAGTTTCAACACTGAACAATATTTATTACGGATGATTTGGTCAATTTAGTTATGCCTAGCCTGAACGTCTATAAACACTGCGCGTGATAAAAGGATGTTTTAAATTTTTGAAAAGCTTCAATGCTGAAGCTATATTTAGTCGTAGTTTCAAAAAGTAAACAAATT